TGAATTTTTGGGTAGACCTGTGGGTCATCGAGTCCAACTCGATGTCCAACTTGAGTCCAACTCCAGCCCTTCCAACCCAGGATATTCTGTGATTCTGTGATTCTCTGATTCTATAATTCTCTGCCCCTCGCCCTGCTCTGCCCCATTTTTGGGGACGCTGTGCCGGGCCCTTCTGCGTGGCCAGGGGGTATCAGGATTGTGCAGCACCCCCACGGTGAGCCCGTCTCCCTGCCCACCACCTCCCACCAACATTTTCTGAGCCCAATGCTCACGTTCACCCAAATTACACACAGAGCTAGCAGTCACAAGGCTATTTCTTTGCCTTTTTTTTTTCATTTTTTTCATTTTTTTTTCTCATGAAATTTTCATTTCATGAGAACTGCTGATGGAGAGGAGAGACCTTTCCTGCTGAGCGTGAGCCCAGCCCTTTACGAGACACCGGAGCAGTCACGGAGCCTTGGGCTGCCTGCTTACGGCGCTGCTGGGTTTGTTTTGTTCCGGGCTCGAGATACCGGCCGGAGGAAAAAAAAAACCACTTGCTAAGTGCTGAATTAAAAGGATGATGCAAAACCCGCGGGGTGCCTCGGGTGGGAAACGTGAGCGGCTGGCAGTCGGCAGCCGCGGGGTGCAGGCTGTTTGGAGAACAGGGGGTTCCTGCGATTAGCCCGCTCGCATGACTCAATGCATAACCACCAGTTACACACTACATTTAATCTGGGGTCAAAAGTCACGGATAATTCCAACCACGCAGAAAAAAATGTTTATCGCCCGCTCACTGGAGCTGTTTGTTTCTGCTGCTCATTGTTTGGCCCAAACAACCTCAGCAAAACAAACGCGCTCTGGTCTGGGGTCGGGGCTACCTGCGGCAGCTCAGCCTCTGCCTGCATCCCCCCAAAAAAGTTTCTCAGTCTCATTTCATCTTGAACATTTGCTATGGGGGTGGAAAAAGGATTGTGCAAGGCAAAACCGCCCCTCCGAAACCCTCGGTGCCCCATTGTAGCATGGCTCAGATGCTGCCTCCCTTCAGCACATTTGCTCAACACCTTCCCCAATTTGGTTTCTGCCCCATTTTTTTCCTCCTGGTTCACTTCTTTCCAGCCTGAGCCACGAGCTGCCACTTCAAACCAACCTGGTATCAACAAGGTGTTGGTGGGGACGTTCGGAAAGGCCCTGCCTGGTGAGGTTGATGGAGCAAAGGATCTCAGATCGCTGAAAACACCGAGCAGGGCAAAGGCTTCTGGAGCTCGGAGGCATCACAGACACAAGGACCAGCTCACCCTTGGCTGGGTGTGATGATGCCAGTGGACAACGTGGTGCGATGGTTCCCATTTTCCCAACTAGGAAGAGCAGAGAAGTGATCATCTGCTTAAATCCTCTTTAATTTAATCCTGGGTTGCGTTCAGCACTCCCAGGGCTCTGCTGTTTTCCTAGCTGGTGTGGTGGAGCTGCTCGCAGGGAAGCCAGTGGCAGCCAGGATGTCTGGCACTTGGAAAAGCTAAAATTGATTAATTTAGGGTGTCCAATGCCTTTTTCTTTAAATATGCCTGCTTTGTGTTATGCACAAAGTACCCCTACCATGCACACTGCAAGGTGCTTTTGTCCAAGAATGGATGCTAGGCTTGGGGTTGAGCCGAGGGGCTGGAAATGAGGGAGTTTAAAGCTAGCAAGAGCGGAAGAAAACCACATTTATCTGCTCTCGAGCTAATATTGAAGCCTGCAGGCTTCTCACACATGGTGCATTTAAGTTTCCCCCTGCATACAAACTCACCAGCCCTGCAGACGGAAAAGCCTGCTCTGCTATGGCACCGGCAGGTTTTCTCAGTGACTTTTTGGGGTTTGTGGCTTTTTTAATAGCTCTAGGTTTGAAAGCCACTAATGGGGGAATTTTTCCTCCTCTCTAAGCAGAACAGTCCTAGCAGGGCAAGGAGGAAAGGGTCAGATAAGGCTCACAATGATTTTTTTTTTTCCCCTTCTTCAGACAAAAGAGCACCCAAAGCACCTTGTCCCTGACCCAGCACACCAATTATCTTGCCGAAACCCCTTGCTGAGCTGAGCAGGGCTGGTGCAATTACGTGGATGCTGGAGTGCTTGGCTAAACCACGGCCTCCTGCCCGCTCCCCACAATCTATCCTGCCCCAAAATAAAAAAAAAATTCAAAAACTCAGGGCCATTCATGGGGGTCACTGGGCTCCTGGGCCGTGTAGGCACCCAGACGGGGGCACTTCAAACACCCACAGCAACGGTGCACAAATGTCCTCCGTGCTTGTGCTGGAGCCTGCAGGAGCCTCCTGCTTCTTTCTCCTCCTCCTCCTGCTCTCTTCCATCACCAAAAAGCCCACAAAGAATTATCCTTCGGCACCATCACCAGGCCTTTCCAAATCACCTCCAGCCCAGCCACATTTTGGACCCACAATGGCGCAAATGGTGCGGATACCACGGACTTCTACAGTCCCAGATCACCCTTTCTTCACTTTTTTTTTGGGCAGCCCCCACGTCCCGTCTCCACACCAGCTTGCCTCGTTACGTGCCTGAATTTAATTCCCCTCCACCAGGAGCTGGGCCCAAGAAATTACATAATAATGAGCTATTCATCCAGAGGGAGGGCACAGATCTAGGTTAATTGGACTGACAATTGAACCCGAGCCGTTCTGGTTTTGCCCAGTTTTCCCGCTTTTTCCCCTCTTCCGCGCAATATCTGCAAAGCTCTCAGCCTCGTTAATTAATAAGGTAACTTCACCCCCAGGGCTGTTTTGTTCTCCCCTCCCTCCTGCAAAGGGCTGGGATAGAAGAAGGAGCAAGAATTAGCTAGCTGGTAACGAAGCAGCCACCGCCGAGCAGGACAGATCCGGCTCGGTCTGCCGGGGTGAGCTGCTGCTGCTGCTCTCCTGGGTTTTGGGGAAACAATGCTGCATGTCGAGGGCAGGTGTTGTATGGGGAACGCTCTGCCTGGCACATGCAGGAGGTTCGAGGGAGGTGCTGCAAAGCTGGGAGGTGCAGAAAGCAGCTGAGCGCACGGGGCTTGCCGGGTGTGGGGTCACCAAAGCTGGGGGGAGATGCAAAAGTGCTCGTGGGTCCTTGGGAACGTGCAACCCTAAATGATCAGGCACTTTTGAAGGTCTTTAAGCCACCAGGAGCATGGGTCGGGTGAGTCTGGGGTGCTGGAGCCCTGCTCCATGCCTCATGTCTTGGTGGGGAAAGCGGGATGCTGCCGGCAGCGCTGCGGGCTCCCATCTGCCCTCCTGCACTGGGGAACTTTATTCCTCTCCAGAATATGCATCACTCGAGTCTTTATTTACAAATAGAGAGGCAAAACCCATAAATCCTGCCAGGAGGGAAACCGCATCCCGGTGCTGAGGGGCGAGAGGAATCTGTCAGAAAGCTCCCTGCTTCCCCCAGCCCTCACCACCCACAGCTCTGCTCCCAAAACAGGCTCTGGTTTTGGGTTGAGTGGGAGGAAAAGCAAAGTAATGGCCCTTTGTGGGATTTTGGGTGAAATCTCAGCCCTGGGAGAGCCAGGGTCCTGCAGGGAAGCGGGGCAGAGCCGAGCAGGGAGGCACAGAGCTGGAGGAGAATGGCAACGAGGAGGGATGCCGAGGGCTGCATTTTTCCCAGGGATATTTTCCATACAGACCCTGTAGATCCCCAATTCTTCTGACCAACCATTTTTTTAAGCTTTTACCCTTCCGATCTCTCCCCCATCCTCACAGGGAGCGAGCAAGTGGCCGTGGGGAGCCTTGGCTGCCCGTTGGGGTCGGCACATTTCCCCCACACCTCCAGCTGCAGACGCCTTTCTGGGCACCCCGTGCGCCCCATGCGCAGCAGGACGAGCTGCCAAAAGGGCACAAAAAGGGCTGCTGAGGTCCTTCCCCACAGCTGGGGGGCTGCAGGGCTGGGCTGCAGGGTTGGGATGAGCAGAGGGCCGCAGGGTTTGGTTGCAGGGGTGGCACGAGCAGGAGGCTGCATGGAGGAGCCCGATCCTGTTCCGAGGCAGCCTGGCAGCTGCGCGCTCCCACACGCGATCGCACAGTCCCCTCTAGTGGATATTCCTCCTGCATCCCGTGGATCTCTCCTGCACGCCTGCTGCTGCCTTGCCCACGATGTGCCTCCAGGCCCTGGCTTCGAGCAGAGAGGCCAGGCACCGTCCTGCTCCGAAATGGAGCGTGGCAGCCCCACAGGTGCCAAACCCCGTCCAGCTGCCTCCAGGGGCTGAGCCATCGCTGGCTCTGCTCGCTCCCAGCCTGTGTTTTTCGGGTGACTCAGCCTCCCTCTGTCCCCTGCCCTGGCTTTGTCCCACACCACCCGCAGCCCTTGCGTCAGGGCTGGCCCCTGCGCGACACGGCTGGGCTGACCCCAGCCCCGCAGCCCCCTCTTGGAGTTCTTTGGGCATCGGCCAACAAAGAGTTTAGGAATAATGCAGGCGAGAGCATCGCCTGCTCTGCCCCAGACAGATCCTACAAGCAGGACCAGAGTGTGCCAAAATGGGCTGGAATGGGGGTGATGTCCTTACAGAGGGGGGCCTGCAACCACACCCTGCGCCCAGGCTTCGGGACCAGCCGAAATCCCCATAGATTTTGGGTGATGCCCCAATTCAGCCCCCATTATGTTCGAGGTGCTGTCATTGCTCTTGACATCCTTTCCTCTCCGTGCTGCTCTGCCCCACGGCCACATTCACCTCCTGGGGGTGTTTGGGGGTCTCTGGTGCAGCCCCTGCCCATGGGGAGGGCACTGAGGCTCCTGGGCAGGGGGCTGCAGCTCCCCCCTGCTCTGGGGAGGTGCCACTTGCATGTCCCTGCACCTTGCTCCATCCCTTGCTGGAGAACACATCCCCAGTGCCACCACCACGCGGGCAGCCCCAAAACGTAGCCACAAGGGCAGAGAGGTGCTTGTTCCCCTAACCACCCCCCTGGGCACATTTTTGGGACCGTGGTGGCATTTGGAGGGTGCATACCCAAAGGCAGCTGCGCCCCCAGAGCCCACCGCCCCGCAGAGAGAGGCTGAGCCAGTGGCACAGAAAAATTTATTGTGCGTCTCCTTTGCAGCGTGGCAATGGGAACATGCATCTTTTTGTAGCCTGAACAGAGGAAAAGCCCCAAATCTCTGCTTTTTGGTTAACCCTGAGAGTGCCAGGGGCACGCGCCGTGCCTGAGCTCCAGCAGGATTTCCTCTCCAGCTCACGGGTGTCACAGCAGAGCACAGAAAGACACAGCCCAGCCCTGATGTGAATGCCTCCCTGCAGGCCCCCAGCATCGGGGTTTGGGCTCAGAAATACACATTTTGGGCATGAGCCGTACCACGGTTTTCCTTGCCGTGGCATCTCGGCGGGGTCCGAGCTGTGGCAGGATTGGGCTCGCCGGTGAAGGGGCGAAATTAAGGAGTTCTTGCAGCCGTCAAACGCAGAGGTCGGAGCTGGAGGAGGAAATTCAAACTGTCCTTAAAGCTGGACGTGGCAGTGAGCTACTGCCAGGAGAAAACAAACAAACAAACGAGAACAACAAGAACAACAACAAGAGGGGAAAAAACAACTCCCATGCTTCGTCCCAGCGTCAGTGCTCGTTTCCTCTGTGCCACGCTGATCCCAGAGGAGGGCACAGGAGGCCGTTCCCTGCCTGCAGCATCCCCCCCAGCACTAAAACTGCCCCTGGGCTCTCGTTCTGCCCACGGGGACTCTGTAATGGCATTATTATTGTGCTGGGAGGGCTGCTTTCGGGCTTTCTGGCCCCGAGGATTCCCCAGCCCCAGGTGCAGCCCTCCCCAGCTCCACCACGCAGAAGGCAGAGCCTCGGGTGGGGAAACTGCAAAACCCAAACTGCGTTTCTGGGAAGCCAGATGCCAATAAACCCCGGTGTTTATTGCAGTGCTCCTCGGCAGCCTCTGTTTTATGGATGTGCGTTTAAAAATAAAAGCTCTGTGCGTCCCAACTGGCTGCAGAACGGCTCAAGCACTAAAAGGACCACGCGGCTGGGGGATGGAAAGTCGTGTCATGGCCCCAACAGGACGGCGACCAAGTGGGATTTCTGTGAGCCTCATACAGGGAGAAATTCCTGCCCTGCTTTCAAGTATATTTGGTGTGAATCCATGTGGTCACTCCGGCATCATACGTCCCACCAAGAGGGAAAGATCTGGACCTGGAAAGCTGCATCCCTCGGGTCCACCACAGCTTTGGGGAGAGATGTGGGGTTTGGGGCAGCCGTAGCAACGTGGCAGCTCCATTTCAGCTCGAGGACGGGTTGGGAAATGGCTCTGGAGAGCTTGGGGAGCTCTTATTTAAATGGTGCCACGAGGGACAAACTGAACTCGGAGCCCATGCAATGCCACGTGTGATGCTCGGCAGCCGCAGCAGCTCCTCAGGAGCAGCCCAAAGTGGTTTAAACAAGATTAAAAAAAAAAAGTTAAATCCTTGCAGTTCGTCACTCCTAGACCACAGGATCTTTACACAACCTCCCCATCCCAGGAGACGGGGCAGCTTTCAGAGAGAGCTGAGGCAATTCGGGCTTCACCCCTGGCCCGCAGCAGCTGGGGAAGGCACGGATTTGGAAGCACCGACTTCAAGAGCCCCTCTGAGTCCCAGGCGTGGTGGAGCAACTGCTGCTGCTGAAATGTGCTGTTTGTTGGCTGCGTGGCTTTCAGCTCACATTGTTTTTTTTGCTGACGGGGCCAAAAGGAGAGAGGAGAGGGAAGCCAAAGGCTTGGTGAGCAGCACACGGGGTGGCTGACCCATGCCACATGTCCCAGAGGGGAGTTTTACCCCCATGGCCAGCAAGTCCTTGGTCCGGGTCAGCAGGGGATAGTGGTGGGATCCCAAACGGGGTGGGGAGTGCTGCTGGATACCCCAAATGACCCCTGTGAGAGCTGCAGTGTCCCTGCATGTCCCCAGGGCTCTGCCTGGGGACACTCAGTGCGGTGCCCCCCCAGGACAGGGACATCCCCTCTCCGGGGCTGGCAAGAGAAGCAGCAGTGGCCGCTTTGTGGTGCAGTTCAGAGGCTGGTGCAGGCTCAGGGAGATGGGAACCAGCCAGGCAGGGAAAAAAGAGGCACAGCTACATGAAATGTGTCCCTCTGGGAGCTGCCGCTTGCTCCAAGTCCTCCCTTTTCAGTGCCCGTTGTTCCAGCTGGCCACTCGCAGCCCCAGCCAGCTTCCCCGAGGTGAAACCAGACAATTTGGCAATCAGCTCGGCAGTATTGACGGTCCCACTGCCTCAGCCTGGTGATCTGCACCACCCAGGGCTTTCTGTGTGGAAGGATCCATCCCCAGAAGGATCCACCTCTGGGTGGACACACACCCAGAGCTCTCCTGGCGGGCTGATTTTGGGCAGGATGAGGAGAGAGATGGGGCACAGACCACGCAGCCAGCACCATGCCGACCTCCCTGGCTTTGAAATCCATCAGATCCCCGGTTTGTGAGGTGAGATGTGAGCTGCAGAAGCTGCTGGGCTTCCAAAAAGGGCTTCTGCCAGCACTGCTCGGCCTGCTTGCTGCATCAGCAATGCCCAGGGTGAGCGGCCCGAGTGGAGAGCAGTGGGAGAAGAGCCCCAGAAGCTCGTGAGGTGAGTGCCAAGAGCTGGGGAAGGAGGAAGAGCCTTTGGGCAGGGTAAAGAACCCCCCTCACCTCTGCCAGCCCGTCAGCAAGTGCCCGCATGGTTTCTTGCAGCTCTTGTGTAAAGAAACATCTGCTCCCTTCTTCCCAAAGCAGCCCTAAAGCCCCTCTGTGCGTAGCTGCAGCAGCTCCTCAGGGATGAGGGTGGATGGGGATCCTTCAAGCCAGCCAGAGGACAACTCCATCACGGGTGTGACCGTGCCCCAGGAGGACAGAGAACCACTCCGTGCCATGCTGAAGGAGGACGGTGATGCTGGGGGTGCAGACGTGGCAGTAAATGCCCCTGGCTGGGCTGAGATCCACTACTGGGGTCCTTGCTGCTTCATCTCCCCTTCCTCTCCACTCTAGGGACGGCATCTGTCTGTCTGTCCGTGGTGTCAGCCTTCAGCAGGACTCCTCAGGGCACCGAGCGGGTGGCCACAGCCCCAGGTGGCCACGGGAGGCTGGTTTTTAGGTGGCCCGGCCGGGCGGCAGCCGTTTGCTGTCCAGAATGGCCCTCCAGTCGTCAGTCCAGGACTGCAGGCGGCGGCTGGGGGGCTTCAGCTGCAGGTGCCTGTTGTGGCAGGCTGTGAAGAGCACGTGCTCCCAGCTGGGGTTCAGCTCGGCCCCTGTGAAACAAGGAGAGAGGTCAGCTCACCCAAATCCTCCCCTGCAAGGTGCAGAGCTTGATCTTGCTCACAAATGTGGACACAACCCCCCGATAAGAGCTTCATCAGCCAGGCAGGGACCAGCACCCATCACCCCCAATGCCACCTGCCCCTTGGGGCCGTAGACTGTCACTTCTGCCACCCCACAGCGCCCTTACCCGTGATGTCAGGCCGGTCGTCGATAAGCAGGTCAGCAGAAACCACCGTCTTATCTCGTGTCAGAACGATCTGCTCGAGGAACTCGGGGCCAAAGTGCTTCTCCACCCAGGCGTACTGCAAGGCGAGGGGGAGCAGTGAGAGGAGGCAGGCTGACACGAGCTCTGACACCCTGCCAAATTGGTTTGTTAGCGGGAAGGGTTCAGATGCTGCTGGAGAGCAAGCAGCACTTTTAAAAAACCCAGGCAGCTTCTGGCATCACAATGAAACATTAAGACCACGTGCATGCAAGTGGCAGAGCTCAGCCAAGAGCAGAGAGGCCACACGGAGAAGATGCCAGGGCACAATGCTGCTGCTGGGGCAGGGAAATGTTGCTGCTGGCTTACGGCTGGGCAGAGCGAGGCACGTGGGGGCTCACTGGAGGGGGTTTCGGACCCACTCACCTTCTCGTAAGGGCAGTAGCGGTACTTCTTGATAGGGCTTGTGCAGATGAACACGTCGGTGCTGCCACGAGAGAAAAGATAACAAGCTGTTAGCCCCCCCTTGCACAGCATCCCACCCACAGCCACATTCTCCTTTTTACTGGGAGCAGAGAGCTGAAGGGAAGGGGATGCACGGGGCTGATTTTCTTGGTGAGCACCCTGTGGGTCAAAACCCCCTCTTTCCTCCCGTGCACGGGTGTCTGGTTGGCATTTTCAGTGCTGATGCTGTGCTGAGTACCTCTGCCAGGAGGCAAATCAGCCTGCACACCACTGCTGCTCCCCCCGTCCATCCCCAAATACCACAGGAAGGTTTCTACTCACTCTGCCAAATTTGCCATTTCCTTCACAGCTTCCACAGCACCGGGGAGCGGGTCCAGCTCCATGAAGAAGTTCTTTGATTCCCAGATGCTGATGGCTTTCTCCTACAAGGGGAAAGAGAGTGGTTACTGCACAGGGCTTTCTTCTAGAGGCTGTCCAGAACCCAACGAAACCTCGGGTCCGTGTCCAGAGGGGAACTTCTATGTGGATCCCCGCTGCAATGTGATGTAGTTCAGCTCACGACGCTCTCTGCCCTATTTATCTCCATCAGATCACTTAAAATAGCAGCCGGGCTGCTCTCGTAGGAGACAATGTAATATAGGATGAAATATATGTCAGGATGAACACCGACAACCTTCCTCGGGGATGCCCGGGCGAATGGATCAAGAAACTCCAGGCAAGGGTTGGAAACACATAATATCCAGGTCTGCAGCCCCAGTGCACTGCTCTGGTGCTAAGGGAGAGCTGAGCAAAGAGAAACCACAGGGGGCAAAGCCTTGGGATGAAGACAGGGTCCAGGGGCTGCCTGCAACAGCACCAGCACAGCTCTAAGGAATAGCATCCAGAGCTCCTGTGCTCCCTCAGACAGGTAACGGATTCTCAGTCGCCAAGAAAAGCAATTATTTCGCACAGACACGGGGTCCTTGGAGAGGAGAGCTTGGGAGTGTTGCCACATGGATGTGGGCAGAGGAAGCAGCCGTGGCTCGGTGTCGCAACGCAGCCGAGCAGCTGCAGCCACAGCTGGGAGGTTTTGGTGGGAGCCCTGCCCTGAAGGGTTGATTTGGAGCATCTCTGCTGCTTTATTTGGGGTGGAGGGATAGGGACGAAGGAAATTCCAGTCCCTCCTGGCCTCCTTGCATTGCAGAGTTAAGGAGGAGCCAGCCGAGCATCAGGGTAGGAGAGAGCAGCCCCAGCAGCATGTATATGGTGCTTAAATAAGCTCATAGCCAAAAACAGGCTGGTCGGACAGGCCAGCTAGACTCATCCTGCCTGATGAGTGGGAATCCACTCTGCCCCACCATCTTTTGCCCTTACTACATCTGCAGTGGGGGAAGAGAGCAGGCAACCCACTACATATTTGTGCACAGAGCATTAAACGCGACATGCTGGCATCAAACCCATGCACTTCTCCAAGAAATCCCAGGTAATATGAAAAGATCAGGCACACCTAATTAAAAGGTTGTCCCAATCAGACCAACTATTGCACTCCTTTGCCTGAGGAGCAGAAAACATCAGTGGCTCAGAGGAAAAAAAGAAAGAAAAAGACCTATCTTAGTGCCTGCTCAAAAAGAAACGCACCGAATCAGCGCAAGAAAACCAGCAGAAATGCCTCCTGGTAGCATGAAAAGAGCAGCCACCCTGCTAGTTTGCCAAAGGGCCAGGCAGATTCCAGTTGCTCTGCCTTAGATGGGTGGGCAAAGATGTTTTATTTCTAAGGTACTGAATGTTGCTCAAGAGACAGCTAAGAAAGGTGGCCTGATGCAGCAAAGCATTTCAAACTGTGCTCAAGTGTTTTCTTACAGCAATGACTTCCGTAGCTATTCTGCTTCCACTTATGTCAAAAAGCGTTTTGCAATCAAGCTCGATGGGGGAAGAACTAAGCTCATCTTGAGGAAAAGACCCACTCGGTTCCGAGAGCCAGAATAACTCCCTGTGGCAGAAAAAAATCCCCCGGGCTGGAAATCCCGCCCTGTGCCAAACAGGATGGACCCCGCGTGTGAACCTCAATGTTCTTCTCAGCCACCGAGCAGCTTCTATGCGCCTTGGTCTGAAAGCAGGGCTGCCCTGAAGCTGGTCTGTAGAAGTTTTGTTACTTGTTCAGCCCAAGGTTTGGGGTTTTTTACCATGGCAGACGCAAGATGAGCTCACATGCAGAGTAGTTAACATCCAGGAGAAAAAAAAAAAAAGAAAAAAAAAGTTATCATGCATTACCTCACCAAACTTTTAGCATCTGCCTTATTGCATAGAGGATGTTCTCCATTCCCCATTTCATCAATCTCCATTCCCCTTCCATCAATCCCAGCTAGAGGGGACACGTCATTCTTTCAGCTCTTTGAGCCACCGAGGACTTTGCCAGTGGGAAGCCCTGGCCGTTACGCATGCTCCCCTCCTTATAGCCTCTGTACTGTTAAAGAGGAGTATTTTATCTGCTGCAACTCCTTTCAACTGGTGCAATTACAAGCCTGAGATAAGACCACAGCCCTCCAAGTGAGCTGGTAAACTCGCAGAAGCAGAAACCGACTTTCTGCAGCACTGAGCCCTTGGTTGAAAGACAAAGTACAACATAGATAGAGCTCTTGCTTCTAGGCTTTAATTACTAAAGTGGATCACAATATTTTTCAGACATGAGAGGGCTTAGGGTCTTTTTAATTTCCAGTAAGCCCTCACATGAAGCATCACTTGCATGGTTAGCTCTCAACTCCTCTGCCGCGTCCCACTGCGTACATTGCTGTTGAGGAACTCCATAAATCCATCTAGGGATAGTACCAACCCATGAAGCATGGCCAAATCAGAGCTAGAACAATCCAGCGAAGCGACTTTGCCTCTTTTTTAAGTAAACAGATGTTCTGAAAGATCTCTTTTCCTTGCATCTCCATCCGTGCATGCAGGGAAAGGAGACGGATGCATTACAAATGCTGGATTTCTGGGACAAGAGGCACCGCTGGAAGCCCTGCTACGTGCAGACCTGTGCCTGTATTGGGGTGGGAGCTCTGGCCAGCACCCACCACCCTCCCCAGGGGCCTGTGTGTGCCTCTGGAGGCAAAAGCAGGGCACAGAGCAAACACGAGCCACGCGAGGAGTGGGGGGATGCAGAGACTCACGCTCAGCTCGGGTCCCAGGCGCCCGTATTGCTCCGACACCCAAAAGCCCCTCCGGTCCTCCAGGGCAATGTAGGGCTTGTCGGGGTACCTGGCCCTGAATTTCTTGAGGAAGCCTCCCTCGAAGTCGGCCAGCACCCCGTCCATGTCCACCAGCACCCGCAGAGCCCTGCGGGACCCCGCTATGGGGCCGGGCCCCCTGCCCAGCCCTGCCAAGGGGCCGCAGCGCCGGGGGGGGCGGAGGTGCAAGATGCTGCTCAGCAAAATCATAGTGGGAAGAGGGGGGGGCTCAGGGCAGCTGGGGAGGGTCTTTGGGGAGGGGAAAAAAAAGGGGAGACTTTTATTTCAAGCACGCAACCTGCAAGCAAGCGGCTCCCCTGGGAGATGCAATAGGGGAGAGCGGGGGGGATGCGAGAGGGAGCAAAAGGGGTGCGAGGGGGAGCAAAGGGGGTGCGAGGGGGTGCAAGGGGGATGCGAGGGGGTGCAGGGGGGTGCGGAGGGGGTGCAGGGGCTCGTCCTCGCCCCGGGACCTCCCCGCCCCATCCCCTCCCTTGCAGCGAGCAGGCGGCTGCGGGGCTGGGGAGGGGGGTGATGGTGGTGGCGGTGGTCCCAGGAGCCGGGGGTCGGGGCCCGGAGCTGGGACGTCCCCGACCCGGCAGTGCAAAAGCCCAGTTCCTCTTCCCGGTGCCTGGCCGAGCCCGGAGAGCGACGGCACCGCCTTCAAGCTGCACAAGCGCCCTGCGGAGCTGGGGCTCGGCAGCGCCTCCGAGCCTCTTGAAGCCTCCCCCCGGCTTCTCCCTCCCCTCTCCCCGTAGCCCCCGGTGCAGCCCCAGGGCTTGCACCCGATGCCGGGGTGCTGGGGTCTCCCTTGGGACCCATTGCCCCGGCTTGGGACCCCGGGGGTGAGGGCAGGGCTGGCATCTTTTATGACCCCCCCCCCAGTGCCTCCCCTATGTCCCTGGGTCTGTTCATAGCTGCAGGGGGTGCGGTGGGTGTATTGGGGTGCATGGAGGTGGTAGGGGTGCAGGTGGAAGCCACGGGGGGATTTTTGCTGCGAAGATGCAGTGTGAAATATAGCAGCACCCTCACAGCAAGTCGTGGGGAAGAGAGTTTGCCCAGAAACCTCACAGGATCTGACAGCTCCGTCCACACAAGCGGTGTGGAGGTTTGCAACATGGACCCGGAGCTCTTCAGCGCACCCAGAACTCATCAGCGATGGGAAACATTTGCAAAAGTGGCCATGGAGACGGGGACTCAAAGTGACACAAACAAGTGCTGACACAAAAACAGCATGCGTAAAGGGCTGAATGTTCTGACACAGGACCAAACATCACCATGGCCCAAAAAACACTTTGGGGATTTAAGCTGGTAAAGAGCCGGGAGGCATCGAGAGTGTGACTAACAGCATTAGGCAACCGCTGGGCTGGGGAGGAAGAGATTTTGGCTGACAGCAATGACACGACTTAGCGGATCCAGAATATTTAATCTTTCGGTTCCAGCATGTTTTCCTTGGAGTTTGTTGTTCTTGTTTCACGTAAAGGGCAGACGGGCTGTGGAGATCAAGCGGCTTGGTGAAGGTCAGGGAGTGAATACAGAAAGGGAGTGCATGCAGGAAGAGAATTCCTGACAGCTGGGTGTATCTAACAGTAACATAAAAGTGAGTTTTGGGGGAAAATGTGAAGTTTTGAGACTGTATTCTTATTTCACTGGAGCAATCACCGTCCCCGGGGGTGGTTAAGGAGGGGTTGGACGTGGGGACATGGCTCAGTGGTGACAGCGGTGGCAGGGAGGGGTTGGACCAGATGAGCTTGGAGGTGCTTAACGACCTTGATTCTGTGATAATTGTGGTAATTGTGATAATTCTGTGATGATTCTGTGATATTTCTGTGATATTTTGTGATACTTCTGTGATTCAGAGCAAGGATCTCGTGCTTTATTTCACACACACCCGCTCTTTTCACACCAGGCACCGGGGAGGGCCCTGAAACAGCCCCAAACCCCACGCCTGACGCCACGGTGACGCCATCATGACGTCACCCCGCGGCCCTGCTGAGTCACGGCTTCTCGCGCTAAGATGGCCTCCCGCTCCGGGGGGGACGGGCGGCACTTCCGGCCTGCCGCCCGTTACCATGGCAACCGCGGCGGGCTCCCCCCCCGCGGCTCCCCCATCTCCCTAGGCGGCGGAAATGACGCGCGGCACCGGTGGGCGGGGCGAAGACCCCAAGGCGGCATTCGATTGGCTGGGGGAGGTGTCACTTAAGCTCCGTTTCCTTTCCCCCCCTCCCCGTCACCGGCGGCCCCGCCCCGCCCGCAGCGCGCGCGCGGCCGCGCCGCCAAGATGGCGTCGGCGCTGGAGCAGTTCGTCAACAGCGTGCGGCAGCTCTCGGCCCAAGGTGACCGCCGCCACCGGGGCCTCACCGCCCCCACCGGCAGCCCCCGGCTTCGGGGAGGGGTTAACGAGGGGGTGGGGAGGCCGGCGGGGCTTTATCCGCTCTCCTCAGGCCTTGCGCCGCCGGTTGGGGGCGGGCCCGGGCCTGGTCCTGTCACGGTTGTGGGGATGGGGGGGGGATGAGGAGTGGAGGGGGGTAGGGAGGGGGGAGCTGTGATCATCCCCGGGGTTTTTAGGTGGGTGTGGGGAGTGGGGGGCTCCCCGAGGTCCTACCGGGGAGTTTGGGGCCTGGGGAGAGATTCTGAGGGGTTTGGGGGTGCTACAGGGAAAGGGGGCACAGGGAGGGCAGCCCCGCCTCACAGCTCTGCGGTGCTGAGGGGTTTTGGGTTAGTGTGGGAGAGGGTGAGAGAAGGGAAGCCTCAGAGTTCCCTGAACCAAATATCCCCAAATATCCCCAAATATTTTAATATCCCTGCTTAGATCGTCTCAGATTCATTGCCAAGCTTTGCCTGCGTTTGGGCACGGGAGTTTCTACTTCTTGTGCTAATGCTCCCTAAATTCTGTTCTCTGCCCTGGGAATGATCGAAAACTGCTATTTCCCTCTGTGGCCTCAGGCTTTCTCTCTGCAGTTACTTTTGGGTGGAGCTCAAATTCTCTCATAGTTTGGTTTAACTTATTAAATGTGTAGTGCTTTTACTGGGGACAGCAGGTGCACGAGACGGTTTGTACCTGCAAGGTGGAACAGACAGAAGGTGCCAACTCCTTGTATGCGTTCAGTGTAGCTGGGGGGCTTATTTTTGTAAGGTTTTGGAGGTGCAGAAGGTTAAAGGGGAAGCTGTTTGTTATGGAATTACTAGCCAGATAGATGCTCACTGTCAAAAAGTAAACCAGAGCCTGCTGGAGCTCACGTGAGCCTCCAGGAAAAGCATGTGTGCTTGTGGTGGTGCTGCTCCTTGGCTGTCAGCGTGCAGCTGCACAGGAGATGGCATCAAGGGGTGTCTAGGCAGGCCTCTTACAGGGCTGGTCAGTTGGGATTTTTGGGGGGAAGGGGGAGAGGGAGCGCTAGGTGATAGCAGTAGGATTTTTCTGTTAAGGAGGGCATCAGAAGTCAGGTTTTGCAACGCTACAGTTGTGTTACCAAATCATGGTTTTATAAGCCCTGTTTCTTTCCATGCTGACACCTGGAGTTTTTTGTATGTAGAGGGCTGGTTTTGGGGTGGGCTTATAGGGTTCCTGGGCTCTGGGCCTACATTCAGGCCTTTTGGATCCCTCTGTTACTTTAAAATTAACGTTTTATTGCTAAGGCTTCCCAGGTTTCTTTTTCTTTTTTTTTTTTTTTTTTCAAAGGAATAGGACAGAGATCTGAGAATAACATTAATCTTTATAAATGGGGGCACTATTACTTAATTTAGGAAAACTTTTGGAAGGGCAAAAGAATTTCTTTCTAATCTGCAAGGACTGAACATTAAAACAGAACTCTGCTGCAGAAAGACCTAGTTCTAATTCTGGTAGTTCTGAAGGAAAAAAGAAAAAAAGATTTTGAAAGTGGTTCATCATAATGCAGAGGGAGGTCCCTGCTTTGCAGTGCCAAGAGCCAGAAACTTTGTTGTCACCTCAGGAGAAGCTTACTGTGTGTGGGTACCTCGCTTGTTGAAAATTTGTGCTTGTCCTACTGCAGAAGAATAAATGCTCTGGGGGATGCTGCCTTTTCCTCAGGGTTTGTAGGGAAGCAAGGTGTGATGAACTACAGGAATGCACGAGCGTTTCCTAACCGGAGTCTGACAAGGATGTTTTGTATTTCAGGGCAAATGACCCAGCTTTGTGAGCTGATCAATAAAAGTGGAGAACTGCTAGCAAAAAACCTCTCCCACCTGGATACAGTGCTTGGTGCCCTGGATGTGCAGGAACACTCGCTGGGAGTTCTTGCTGTCTTGTAAGTGTTGCTTCCTTCTTATTAACTATTCTAGTACCAAAAGCTCTGACAACATGTCAAATTACCAACCAAACGTTTTTCCTTTAGACATAAAATACTTTCAGTCTGCCTTTCTTAGAATGGCGCTGAGTTTCCTTTGGTCATGCACATTTTACTAGAAGAAATGTCACAGCAATTTGTTTATGGCTGTGTAAGTATTTTTCCCTACCCATTCAGCAAAAAGATACAAGCCTGACTTCCAAAATTTGGTTGGCAGGACATTTGTAAGCCAAGCTGTGAGCATTAAGCAATGTGTTTTGTTGGGCTTCTTCCCTAGTGACACAGGGGTTCTTATCATAGCTCTTGGTGTTTGTCTGCAGGCAGCACCGAGGGTCTTGTTGCTGTCTGTATTTAAAGATAATCCTTGGATTGCCTTAGTGATACGAAGGGGTTTGGGTTTTGTTTTGGGGGTGTTTTGTTTTTTTTCTGAGGTTTGGCCATGAAGTCCAAACTGTTGTTTCCAGTTGTACCTAAATACAAGTGAAGGGTCTGTGGGTGTATTTTAAAATGCTCTTTTAAAGGGCAGATCAGAAATCACATGCTTGTTGTTACCCCTTTGCAGCAAACTGACTGTTTTGAATAGAGATACTAAACTTAATATTAACTTCATTAGAATTTCACGAAAATGTGCTCTTGAATTCACAAAAATTGGGGTATCCGAGGTGGAGAAAGAAAAGTAGCTGTAAGAAAGAATATGCAAAATGTATTATTTGAAGAGATGGTATCAGTGAAGCATAGAGGAAAGTGTTCCTGGTTGGAACTGGCGTGGGAAACTTACAAAGTAAGACTTTGTGAAGAGACAGGAAAACACAGCCCTAACCCTGGTGGGGAATGGCAGTTCACTATCTAGGTAGGCTTCAACTGCCTATTATAGTGCAGAGCAACTGTAGGGGCAGGGTTGGATGCCTTCCAACAGCATTAAATAGGTGTGTTTGTTTTTTGGTGACATTTCTAGGGTGCAGAGCTCTGCATGCAGATGAGTGTAATCATAACTCATCGTACAGGAGAAGCAGTGTGCAAGTCTGCAGCCCGTAGGGTGCTAAGGAACCAGCAGAGATGAGAGGAACTGGAAGGGAAGAGAGGGAGCTCTTATCAGGAGATACAAGTCTAACAATGCAGTGGTTAAGAAAGCTGTAGCACATTCAAGCAGGAGGTGGCTGCAGGATAAGTAAAGTGTCCAGAGAAGTTGTGTGGTTTTGTATTAAAATTATGATTGTTAGCTACTGTTTCTATTATGATTGTAGTCATTGTACCAGGTGAAATGGTCTTTATTTGCCATGGTTTGTTCAAAATTGTAATTCACACTAGATTCCCAATAGGAGTATGCACTGAAAGCGTACGTTTGAGAATTGTGCAGCTCCTGG